TTCCTTAGATTTCCACGACGCATGCGCGAGATTTGCGATCTGCTCACACCAGCCTTCACTACTTCAGATCGCAATTCTCGCGCATGCGTCGTGGAAATCTATAAGGAAGTCTCGTTCTGGCCTACAAGGAAGAAAAGAAATAGTCGAATAAACTCGTTATTTTTGTTTGTTTTTTCGCACAAAAAGTATTCGCGTCGCTTGATAAACATATAGTTGAGCCACGGTAGTCACTTGGGATATTTAAACATTTTCTTCATTGACTTTTTGGGCCGTCAAGAGGCAGTCCCTTAGGAGCCAATGTGGTAGTTATACAGCTCTCAAATTTAATCAAAAATATCTTCATTTGTGTTCCGGAGACGAACGAAGGTCTTACGGGGTTGGTACAGCATGGGGGTGAGTAATTAATGACTTAATTTTCATTTTTGGGTGAACTAACCCTTTAAGAGCTTCAACCCATGAACTGCTCGTTGAACAAAGAAAAAACATTCATTTGTACCAGGACAATAAAGAGGGCTCAAACATCTTTTTAGTTATGAGAGTCTCAGTCTGCATTACATTATCAATGGTGTTTTAGGATGCCAAACAATTATTATAATAATGTAATAATGATTTATAATTATTCCTATGACGTACTGTAAAATCCATTTATAGCCTATAAATGTATACAATGTAAATGAAAATGAGTATTTCAAAAGTATATTTTAACTACATTACACTATACTATAGGAAAATTAAATTACTTTTGTCCTAATTTCTTCACTTGCAAGAAATAAACCCTTGAGCTTTTATTTAGGAGAAAACACAAGCAGACCATGATGATCGAGTGAGCAAGTAATCACGCAGCACAAACGGATGCTATTCTAATGTCAGTTATTATAATGGCGCAACGCCATATATATTCATGGTTTCAATTTTAGTTCGTTGGTAAAATATAACGCTAGAGACCTTAATGTTAGGTTTTACATTTTACATCTTTACATATCTGTGTTGGGAAAAGGGAGAAGAGAGAGTTCGGCAAGGCGGATTCGAACTCGCGTTCAGCGCATCAAAAAGCTGCTTTCCAGTACTTCACGCCCTACGACCTACGCCACTGAAGCTGTTTTAAGACGCGCGTCTTTTTGGCTTAACCCTTTCACACGTAAGTTTAAAATATTCTAACTGACCCCCCAGCGTGAGTTTTTCAAGGCGACCGTTATTTAGAACTTGCCACTTTAATGTTTCCATGGTGACGCGTCATTGCTTGTCACGTGACACAGCACAACCAGAACAGAGCGCGGAATGAATGATGATCTGCTTTTATGTCATTTTTCCTTTTTTATTAAAAATATTCAAAAATGTATTAGCTATATCATGAAACACTGATATTCCGATTGTCAAATATGTGCAAGTGGATGGGTTTTGTTGTTTAGACATCTTTATAACGATCGCGTTAGTTGAGCTGTATGCACAACGGGCGGCGCCATTTTAGTTTCGTTTTCAGTTCAGAGAATCGGATCTGTTGGATTTATTACGTCAATTCATCCACTTCTCACGAAATACATGATAGTAAGTGGCTGGTGAACTGGGAGAAGAATAGGATCAAATGTTAAGCTACTTACACAATGTGTATCTGATATGAAATAAAATGTGTCGTCTTATTATAATTGAAAGGATTATTATTGCCGCTCCCATAGACATCTGTATGTATTTTACAAACTCAAAATCATTGTTTTGCTTGTACATATGTGTATTTAAATGTCTGAAACCTAAAATAAACATTATGTGGTTGAAAACACTCAATAGTTGTGATATATGACAGCACTGAGTGCGTCTGTCTCTGGCTGAGCGCCAGCCAACGCGCGAGAGCAAGTTTGAATTTAGCAGTTGCTGACGTGTGCACTGAACGTTCTAATCACACCGGTGTGATCGTACGCTCCAGGGACCAGCCAAGACTGATCACACCGGTGTGATCGTACGCGTGAAAGGGTTAAAGACAGGCACTAAGTCCAAATATATGCTCTGTTATAAAAAATGTAAAAAAAAAAAAAAAAAAATGTTTTCTTCCCTTAGCTTGGGCCATGGCGAACTTCCAATAAATACATTTTATCAGACCGGGCCGGCCCTCGCGGCCTCGAAACACTACCGGCCCATCGGGAAAGACTCTCCCGATTGCCACTCCGCTACTGGTTGCAGCGCTGAAAGTTTAGTGTAAGCAGAGATATCATCTTAAAAATCAGGAAGTATAATTGCCTACAAAAACAACTCGATTGGGACTACAGCTGGGTTATGGAACGTCACTAACCTACACATTTGCATCAACCCTCCCTCCGGAATATGCAGAAAAAGGCATGCGCATATTTATGCGGCACGTCGAGAGTGTTGTGTTCACCCAGCTGTCAGGTCTTCTGTGTTCGAGCTTCCCACGGATGCTGTACTTCCTCAACAATGGATACAATTTATGTTTGATTATGTTCCTGAAAATGACGATCGTAATTTAGCTCTCTGTGCTGCACATTTTACGGAAGACAGCTTCCAGAATCTCCACGAGTTCAACACCGGATTCAACAAGAAACTGTTAAACTAAACTAAAACATGAAGCAGTTCCGACTTTAAAACAAGAGGCAGCAGTTGTTGGGCCACAACCTGTAAGTAGGCTAAGACTTCATTTTAAATATTTGCATGTATAATTCCATATTTTTTTTTTTTCAAATGCCAGGGCTGGCTTTATAGCAGGGGTGCCCAATCCTGCTCCTGGCGATCGACTGTCCTGCACAGTTCATCTCAAACCCTAATCAAACACACCTGAAGTAGCCAATTAAGGTCTTTAGGATCACATTCAGGTGTGTTTGATTAGGGTTGGAGATGAACTGTGCAGGACAGTCGATTGCCAGGAGCAGGATGGGCTATGTGCACGCATAAATTCCGCATTTGACGCAAGGATGCTCGTCCATTTCCGGTTGTGGAGATTAAAGCGGAGGAAAACCGAGGAAAACGAGATTAAGTCTTCAAAATTTACTGTCCTCCAGTCTTTGAAATGAAACGTAAATACGTTTAGATGTAATTTTATATATAGTTATATTTATTTAATATAATTTTAAAAAAGAAGCATAAACACAACGAGGGGTGTCTGTTTTATCTGTTTTTGTGACTAACGTTTCTTTAGTATAACCATGGAGTATAAAATTCAATATAAATTCTCGGTATTGCATTGGACTGACTCTACAATCGGCGGAAGTTATCGAGCATCCCTAATGCTTCACCGGAAATACCGCCGCGCATAGAGCCCATTGGGCACCCCTGCTTTATAGCCACTAGGCTACTAGTTATGCTAGTATTCTGTGTCAACGACAAACGTGTACAAACATTATGGACCTGAATTTTGTATAAGTACTAATGTTGTAAATGTATTTTTCATGCTTTATGACGTTATTTTCGATATGATCAAGAACGTAAACTTGCCAACGCTGTTTGTGTTTAACATTAGTAGCCAGTCAGTTGCTATTGTTGCCAGTCAGATGCTATTGTGTAAAACAAACGTGTATATGGTTAAAAAATTTAGCAAATTATCCTTCAGAAACGTTTAGTAAGAGTGTGTGGTGAGGTTCTGCTTGACTCGATTCATCGCGGCTTTCTCTGTCTGATTCTGCCTCAGTGATACTGCAGTCTCGACATCATTATTTACGTGTATCCACCGTCTATGTTATCCACCTTTGGCATGCCCGTTTCACCCGTAAAGGTAATGGGTGTTAACCTTCCGGACAACGTGAGCGACAGTTTGGCCAATCACAACACACCGGGCCAAACTAACCAATCTGAGCCCACTATGTGTTTCTGAGGAAGTGTTTTCATAGAATCAGGAAGTCAACCGCTCGTTCAGGGGACAGAGGAGAGCGCGGCTTAAAATAAAGGTTAAGTTTATGAAAAATAAGACTTTTTAAAAAAGAAAAACCACGAATGCATGTTATATTGCACCCCATAAACACAATCATGCAAAGAAAAAAAGCAGTCAACCCCCCCTTTAATACCAGGTGTAAACAGGGCCTGATTGAAATTTAACTAGTGGGGTTTATGAACATACCCTAACATACCCAGACCTTGTTTCCACATGGTAGATGGTTTTCTTGTGAGCTGATTATAGTCGGTCAGTGCTAAATGCAGGTGTAAATGGGGTCCAGAATTTTTTTTTTTACCTTTTTTTTAATCATTTTTCAAATTCACCCTAAATACATCTTTGACAACAGTGTCACAGGACTGATGAGTGATTACTTGTGATTGGAACGCCAAAAACGCATCTTAGTACCAGATGGAAACTGGAAACAGGGCCCCAGGTAATAAGATTGGAGGTTGGCTTTTGTGCCCACGTAAACACTTCAACTGGCTTTGACAAGGTGACAAGCAAGGTGCAATTAATCCTTCAAAAATGTTATTATGGATTGTGTCATATATACTTGGACAGAGAAATTCAGGAGACAGAGCAAAAACATGCTGTAGCTCAATTATAACTGCATAAACATACTATTCTGTGTGGGTAATTGTGTAAAAGTTGAGGAACACTTCTAATAGCAGCTGCAAGTGTATGCTTGTTTCCTAATCCCAAGTGTAAAATGTGGGCAAAAATACCAAATTTAAACTGAAAAAAATCCCATTTGAAAAAGCAAGTTACTTAAAATAAGTGATACATATAAGTAGTTTCCATAGATGTTTTCCATAAACTGTGTGAGTCGTTTCACTGAGGTACCAAGCTATTAAGTTTCTGTCTTTAAGTCAGAGTTATTTAGTTCAAGGCCAGCTAAGGGATGTTTATGAGAGACATTACAGCTCACTCCTTCTTTGCCAAGTTAGGCCTCAATCACAAAATACAGTGGCTACTACAATCTGCAACATTTGCTTGTTATTTGGCGTTGATGTGTGGAAAAGAAACTGATTATAGATTATGTCTTTTTAACAGAAGTGCACAGCAATGTCTCCTTAAGTTAGGGTCTATTATTCAGAAAATAAGCAGGACATGTATGGCTGCTTACCTTGGCACTGAAATCCTTGCTTGCCAAACCCCCTGATGAAGAGGAGAGAGAGAGAAATGCATTATAGACCTGTCTTTCTAAATCCTTTAATGGGCTTTTAGCTATCAGTTCCCTTTCACTGAACTGACAATCACTCAATTAAAAAGTAGCTATGGAATCTAATGTTTGATTTGTCTCAACATAGGAAAACAGTAAAAGACCATGCTATAAATTATAGCTATAAATTTAACGATAGGAATCATGTATTAGACGAATTAGATTCCTAATTCCTATTTGAACTTTTATAGTTTACTACATAAACTATCAACAAGTGTGAAGACTTGACTGAGCAGCTAAATGCCCCATATGAGCCTAGACATACCGATCACCCCCAAATTATGGCAACCCCAGTAAACACTGAAGCATGCAGAATATTGCCACTCTGCGAGTAGTCTGAAACGTTTCTGTCCGAAGACAAAATACTTTCTATTTCGAAAGCAAGTTAAAGCGGGTGAGCTGTGTGAAGCAGAGTTCGATGACAGCAAACTCTAAACATGTTTTATGTATGGGCATGTTTAACACAGCTGAACTGCAAGCAATGAGTTTCTATGCTAAAACCAGTGTTTGTTGTAGGTGTTCGTCTGGTAACAGGCCAGCAGCAAGATTTACAGTAACACTAAACTTACACTGATACTCTAATAATTTGTGTGAACTGTGAAATGATTTACTCACCAAATAAAGTCCGTGCAATGACTGCAGAAAGTCGGCTGCTTGAAAAATCTCGCAATAAATTTGTGGTTTTTTACTTCATGGACGTTTTTCTGCCTCAAAGCACCTTTACGGGCGAATCGATTTGCAACGTCAGATGAGGATTGGTCGTTGCTTTGTATGATATCAGCCATTGCAGAAACACGAGAGATTAATTCCCCGAAGAGTATGTGGAAGTTGCTGTCAAAAAATATTTAACGTTGTTTTTCTCCCGCGTCGTTTGTCCGTGTAGCGCAACAGTTGGGCGCGCGCGTCCGGAAAGGGCTTCTCCTGCTTTCGCCACAACTACTGTGTGACAGCTTCCAGCCAGCGCTCCGCTTCCTTCTCGCTCGAGGTGACGTCACCGAAGTGTCCTTCTGCAGGGAGTGGATAATAACGCTCGCCCCTGGATCATGAGTCCCGTGCAGTGAGCGTCATCCCGCGGTCAAGAAACCAGTGTGCATGTTGCGGTAAATCCATAACATTGTCGTCGAAGACTTGTGACAAGTTTGGAACTAAGTATAGCCTAATGGTTTTCATACCTTACTGTAGCTTATTCCATGGAAAACACGATTAATTCTTAATTTGCTTGTTAATTCTTTTAACCAGCAAGACATCCTTGGTCAACCGTGAAAGAACGCAGGTGGTTTTGCGCCCATCAGATCTTTGAGCAGAGAGCACTTTGACACCTAATGAATGAGCGAAAAATTAATGGAAATGTTTTTTTGTTTTTTTAGGCCTTTTATTACATTGAAGGATTGCATAATTTAAATGTACAATATGCAGGATTTTTGCAGTAAAATCTGTACGTGCACCCAAACACTTGGGTATTTTTCTCTTCTCCGTAAATCTAGCAGATCTACAAGCGTTTTTCTGTGGTAGAAATTCATTAGCTACTAAAACTTCTTTGTTGTTTTGGAGAGCGCAGTGCATGGTTGTATGGCAACAACGACAGCCATGGGAAAATCAGACCAAATTTTACTATTAATAATAAAAGATAAGCTACTGTGCATTATAAATGTCAGGAATGTATCTTTATTGACTCATTCTTTTATAAAGATGATTTAAATGCTGATATGTGAGGTTTATCTTTTTCATAAAATCTTTTTTGTCAAAAGTTTATTTGAACGTGTGCATGTTACCAGATAACATAAAAGACAACAATCCTTTAAAACAAATCTTTAATGTTATTAACTTGATGAATTGATTTCATTATTAGCCTTTTTGAACAAGATTCTGTGTACCATGATCATTTTGGTCACTATATTCATGAAATTAAAATAATTTTCATAATGATCAACTAAAATCAACTATAATTATGTGTTTTTACAGTAGCCTATAATATGCAAAGTACAATTTTCTATTAAAAATAATCTCTGATTCTGTCTCTGAGATTTAATAGGCCTACAAAAGCTATTTTAGGTCTAAAACAGTTTGGATAGTTGTTAATATGAGAGCTGTTCGAAATTATTTAAGAGATAGCCTACGTATTGTGTTATTAAGTATCTCTCTGGCCCTTTCACTTTTAAAAAATCCATTTCATGGCAAAGTATAGTTTAACAAGTCATAACTAAAAGTTTTCCATGCATAGAATTCAAGGCAGTAACCAATGCGCTAATAGATCCTCGAAGGGGGTCTCACAGGGTGTAATTCAAAGTAGAACCGCCACTGAATGTGTTCACTCATCCATAAAAGATCCATCAGCTTGACGGCAAGATCCATAATTCCGCTTAATGCGGAATATACCTTATATACATATAACGTATACGTTATATGACGGAATGTACGTCAGGCGTACATTAAAGGGCACCTATTATGGAAAATTCACTTTCACATGGTGTTTGAACATAAATGTGTGTTGGCAGTGTGTGAGCAAAACCACCCTAGAATGATAAAAATCCACTCAGTGTTTTTTTTTTTTTTTTTTTGACAATCTCAATAAATCATATGCACTGTCTCAGAACGAGCTGTTCTAAGATTCAGCGCTTTGTGACGTAGAATTGAGCAAGGGGTTTGATTGACACTGTGGTTGTGGCATAGACCCCGCCCTCGGTGATCTGTACACCATCCTCCATTGTTTCAAAGACAGCCGGTAATGTCTCTTGGAAACATAAGAGTTCTGTCGTGGGTTAATCCTGTTGTTGTGGTTTAAAAGTTAATCCTCAAGTGTGGATCGTCGTCTACTGTTTGCGATTCACCGTCAGTAACAGTAAGTGTATTTTATGATTTTTGAGCAGGGGCGGACGTAACCATTAGGCAAAGGTCGGCAACTGCCTTGGGCCCCGAGCTACCTAGGGGCCCCCAAAATGTTGCATTAAAGTATGCTTAAGTTTGTTTGTTTTTTTTCCTTTTCACAAATTATATATTTTTTAAAAAAACGCATAAAATCAATGCTAGCAATATGTTAGAAGTCCATGGCCGTAGCCAGCTATGAAGTCACCAAAGTCCGGACCTCTGTCATTTTTTTCACATTCAAAAATAAAATGTCAAGCTCTCTAAATGATTAATCAGCCATTTAAACCACCTCATATGAATGAGGTGCATGAGAGCGCGTTGTGAGTGAGGGCGCGGGTACAGTCTCCGTGTTGCCAGATCCACCTAATGGAAAGGGGCAGAAGTCTTCTGGACCTGTTTATCTGGTTTAATGTGACACTTTAGGAAGTTATAAAGTGGAAAGTTATATGTTAGGCTTAGTGATATATTAATCTTATTTTTAAAAAACAAGCTTTGAACTTATTTTGGATTATTATTATTTATTTGTTTTGTTTTTCTTGTTTTTCGTAGCAATATCTGGCAACATTTTACTGTCGATATTAAAAAAAAAGCTTATGGACAAACGTCTCGGTTACGTATGTAACCCTCGTTCCCTGAGTAGTTCCCTCGTTCCGTTACGTCGGATGACAGAGAATGGGGGTTTTATAGAAAGCCAATCCTCTTTGAGTTTTAAAAAATGGCAAAGAAATGCCATGGGTTTGCAGAATTTGCGGACGGAAGAATGGAAATACGAATTGGCGTGTCATACACACGCTACTTCATGAGATCAGTCTGGGCTTCAAGAGAACGCTCAGCTGAGAAAAGTCGCACTTATCCAGTCATGGAGTGGAATGGCGAGCAAGCAAAGACACCTGAGCGGGTCCAGTACTGTCCGGGTGAGCGAGTACAAGAGAGGACACAGGCTCCACTCGGAGATTATAGAATCTAGCGAATGTGTTGGGTAATTTCGCTTGTACGTAGCAAACTTTATCACAGTATGTGTATGTAGTTTCAAAAAATTGCACCAACGTTAGTGTTTGTGTGTTTCAGTGTGTGTGTGTGTGTGTTGCACATCCATAATTTCCAAGGGGACGCGATTACAACTCTATAAGTACATAAATGTATCAAATAACCCGAGACGTACTGGTCCATTCTCATTTGTGTTTATTCTGCCGGAGTCTCTTCGTACTATTTATATATTCCGATTCAAACGTACGCTGAATAACATTCAAAACAGCGAGTCTCTCACTCTCAGCCCTTCTGCTTACCGACTGCCATACTGCCCTACAAAGCAAAAAGGCAGTAACTACGCAGAGTGCAGAACTGAGAAAAATGACTTTTGCTAGGGCTTTTTGCAGTTACTGTACAAACGACTACCACTTTTCTCTAAAACGACACACATTTAAGATAAGATGTTTTGACACATAACAACGCCTTGAATGTCATGAAAATTTTAATAATTAATGCTTTACCAAAACTGCAGTTACTGCCTTTTTGCTTTGTAGGGCAGCATAGGTATCAAGTTACACCCTCATCCAAAGGCAGGTTGGGGTTATACAGCTCATTTGCTTTTAAGGTCGTATACACCAAAACAGCTCATTTTTAAACAGGCCCCAAAAATGACATTTGACATCAAATGACATCAAATGGTTATAATAAATTAACTGTGGGGTATTTTGAGCTGAAACTTCACAAATACATTCTGAGGACACCCGAGACCAATATTACATCTTGTAAAAAGGGGCATAATAGGTGCCCTTTAACTCTTTCCCCGCCAGCGTTTTAAAAAAAAGTTGCCAGCCACCGCCAGGGTTTTTGACGATTTTCGCTAAATTTTAATGCCCCGCTGAATATTTTCTTCCATGAATATATGAAGATGATATATATAAAAATAAAGATCTGAGCCTCTGCTTTTAGGCAAAAAAAACGTTTTTATTTTATCTTCATTTGTTCTTTTTTTATTGCCTCTTGAACAGAGTGTCACGGTGCGGGTGCGGGTTGAAGAAGGAGCGGAATCCAAAATCACGAGGAACATAGGTTTAATCTTAAAAGACAGGCAGGAAGACAGGAAACACGGCGTAACATTGAACATTGACCGACAAAACAGAATCAAACAGAACTGAACTAAATACACAGAGGAATAAGGCTGATTGGGGTGAACACAGGTGAAAATGATCATGACAGGACGAGGAACAGGTGGCTGATTGGGGAAGTGAGTCCGGGAGAGGAACAAAAGGATCCGGGGAAGTGTGGTGCAGATGACGGGACAAAACAGGTGAGGACGACAGACTGTGACATTACTCCCCCCTCCCGGAAGGCGTGGCCTCACGCCATAACATCAAGGGGAGGGGGGGGTGGGCACCCTGGAGGCTGTGGAGGGCGTCGTCCGGAGGAGACAGCCCCCCAGGGCGGAGCAGGATGAGGGCGAGGCCAGGGCGGAGCAGGCTGAGGGCGTGGCCAGGGCGGAGCAGGCTGAGGGCGTCCCCAGGGCAAAGCAGGCTGAGGGCGTGGCCAGGGCGGAGCAGGCTGAGGGCGAGACCAGGGCGGAGCAGGCTGAGGGCGTCCCCAGGGCAAAGCAGGCTGAGGGCGTGGCCAGGGCGGAGCAGGCTGAGGGCGAGACCAGGGCGGAGCATGATGAGGGCGAGACCAGGGCGGAGCAGCTGGAGGGAGGACCCCTGGTGGAGCCGATGGTAGTGGGGCTGACAACACCAGGGGGCCGACTGACAGGGGTGGAGCGGATGGGAGAGGAGACCAGGGTGTAGCTGAGTGACTGACGACAAGTGGTGCTGATGAGGGACTGAGGGAACATGGTGATACCGTAGGCTCTGGTGATCGAAGTGATGACAGGGGCACGGAGGGACACAGTGAGGTCAGAGGGCATGAGGGCTGACGGGTGACTGGAGGGAGTGAGGAGTCCGACAGAACCGGGGGGGTGATATGACGGGGCGGAGCCAGAGGAATGAAGTCCAAAGGGGAAGGGAGGACGACGAGGGAGCGAAGGGAGTCCGGAGGGTCGAGGGAGCCTGGCCGAGCTGGTGGACTGAGGGGCCATGGAGGAGCTGAGGGAGGTAGGAGCCACGGGGGAGCCA